CTAAAATCCATATATAATCAAAATAAAGCGAATTTTACTTTTTATTCACTAAATATTTCAATCCAAACATATCCATTTGCATTTAAAACCCCAAATGCAAAATGGTTTCTCCTTTCCGTCGCTTGCATAATTTTTCCATAATATTACCGAACAGAAACATTTCTAATTCGATAAAAAGCTGATGTGTGGGAAGCAATAATAAATTTCAAAGAAGTGCAACACCGAATGTGTAATGGAGAAAAATAATGAGTGAATAATGGTAAATTTCTATTATTCCCTCAATTACCCCGAAATAGTTATTAACTATTCCCCGGAATTAACGATATTCGGTTACTCCAATGTTTATCTAGCGTTGAAAAAGGTTAAGCGAGGTCGACAATTTTCCCAGTGAGTGACGTGACTGTAATAATTGCAATCATGTGCACGTGTGAACATCTCTTTACCCCCCACCCTCGAGACGATAGAACAAACCGCAATTTATGAGTTCTCTCCACTCAGTGGAATTCCAAGTAATTTTTTCATTTGAACATTTAGTTATTGATTGGTTAATAAAAAAGAGATAATCTCAGGCTGCCCCGATGCCTAGTCTCGTCTTAACAAGACATCAGGCGATTGCGTCATGAGGGATTATGATTAGCGATGAAAAACAATTGGTAAGAAAATAATAGGAAATGAAGAAACATTACTAATGAATTTTTTTTTGCAGTCGCGATGGAAATTCTTGAAAATACTGTAATTGATTTCCATGCTAGATGCGGTGAATGATTGCATAGTAGAATTTTGTACTTCGGGTGGGTATTTAAAACGAGTGACGGTGAATAATGTACATGCGATATTCAGATGATAATTGTGAGTTGCCTGGTAATGTCGGGTATGAGTGGTTATTTTAACTGGACATTGGAGAAAATCAAAACGCGGAATTATTGGCAATCCTGTTATTTTCGGCTCTTTACACGCGGATGCGGGAATGAGAAGCGATTTGTTCACGTTGGCCATTTTTTTTTCAATGGTAAATAATCCTCACGTTTTGTGATCGTATTTGGTAATTGAGAATTTTTTTTTCATCGGAAATAGGAATTAAAATGACAATGATGAGTAAAAATGAGGAAATTGTAATTTTTCTTTTGCGTTATTAATTACCCGGTTAAAAAAAATGTAATGGGAATATTTTTTACAAATTTTTAATAAATTTCTGGAAGACTTTTCAGAATTTTTTTTATGGGAAAGGTTTTGAAAAATTTTTCAAAAATTTAAATAGGAAAATTCTTTTCATAATTTAGATGGCGTATTTTTTGAGAATATTGAGAAATTAAAAAAGTAAGAAAACAACAGTATAATGAAAAGAAAAATTATATTCGCAAAAATTTCTAGAAAACTATAAAAAAAATTTTCCGAAACAAATTTTTGAAAATTTTTTCAAAACATTCCCCAAAAATACGATTGTTTTGTTACCCGATTTTTTTTTGTTCCAAAAAAAAAATTTCTGAAAAGTTTTGTAGAAATTTTTTGAAAATTTGGAAAAACATATTGCGATTACAATTTTTTTTTTACCCGGGCAGTCGCAGTTTTTAATCCATTTTTTTTTAATCACTGAATTTTCTCCCCTACGGGGAAAAAATTTCGGAAAAATTGCCGGACCGATTGGTAATGGTGTTGATCGTGTTAACCGTTCGGCGGAAATTACCGGATTACGAATTAATGATAAACATTTCAGCTTCAAGTGCTTCAATAAACGTTAAACCCATCAATCACAAATCGCCTGTAAAAGTAAAGAAATATTCTCCATCCCCAAATAAAAAAAAAATTCAATCGATCCCAGCCGCCTACAGTCTACAATGGCGTGGCCTCATTAACCCACCCCTCCCCTTAATCTGAAAAAAATCGCCAATTTCCTCATAAAAATCATAATTTTTCCCCTCATCCTGCCATAAACTTGCTCGTTACAGTCTTCATCTCCATTTTATTTCACCGTAACAATAAAACCCGAAGTTTCAAGTGTTTCGATAAGCAGAAACCTATTAGTTACACCATGCCCGCGTTTAATAAGTACCCACCCCACCCACTCCCTACTCACCAACGGCGCAATCATGCGGCAGTTAAGAAACTCCATATTCAACCCTCCTTTAAATTTATTCCCGGGTATATGCGTAAATCCGGTAGTCGGTAGAAATGCTTTACCTTTTTTTAATACCCCACGAGGTGTGGTTTCCCCGTGTTTCCCCACCTGAGTTATAGTTGGTCATCAATTGTGCAATCCACAGCTACCAATCCCCAGCGTCAGCCACGCCCATCGGCCCAGTTGAACCGCCCATTAGCCGCTGTATAAGTGGCAGAGAGGGGGGGAGGAAAAAAGTCTTAATACGCCTCTTGGGTAGACTTACGAGTTATACAGTGTAAAGGGACGGTTTTTGGTCACTTCTACCCGGTGAAATCAATAGACCATATAACCTCTTCTACGCCTGCGCATTATCCCCCCGTTCACAATCCCTTCACCCATTGGCTAGTCGTTCTTTCGAGGGTCAATAGGAAAGTTTACCGTATTTCTATACTCTCGTCTAAGCATTCTACCTCCATTTTTGTGAGGAATTATTTAGTGTTTGGGTGCAGGAGTGTGTAGGGACTAATTGATCACCTGATTATTGAGGGGTGTTGGGTGGGGGTGTACGTAAGAAATTCATGGAAATTCAGGTGATGAGGACGAGTAATGGAGATGAGTCACGAAATTTCTGCCATTTTTGAGAGTATATTCGGATTTTTTGGGAATTTTTGTTTCAGTTTGACTTCCAGCGAAATTCGTACGAATTTTTTGACTGGAGAATATCCAGTAAAAATGACAAATGCTTGACGTATTTGCCGTCATTTTACCCTATTGTTTCCTTTAATGTTGGAAATCAAATGCTTGTTTAATACTTTTGGGTTGGAGCAAGTTAGTTGTAATTCAAGTCAATGAAGAATATTCCAAGTTGAGGTGTAGTGTTGCGTGTTTGCGGATGTCAGACAAAAGTCGTTAGCTTGTCCTGAATTTTGAATACCGTTCAGACCTCTCGGACCTTCAACCTTTAGGGCGAACGAGGATCAAGAAAGGTTAAATCATTCTTCCATCATTTTAAGAGAGATTAATTAATAATTTATGAATTTCACTGGTCGCTATCTTGACGGAACTGCAGACTATCAATTTTCTACTCGAGCACTTATTCAATCATTTTTAATAATAATCCCCCTGAATTATTGGATTACCGATAAATAATTGATGACATTCTAGAAATTGTAATTCATCTGTACAATTTCCTGAGTTTATCAATTTTTATATAAAACCGCGTTAGGGGAGAATTTCAATGAAAAAATTTCCGAATATAATTGAATAATCAAAGATAAATTTAATTATTAATAATTATTAGTAATGGCATGGAAGAATTTTAATCTACATATTTTACCATAAAATCCAAACAAAAATTGTAATTTTCGATCGCAGATTATCTGGTAAAAAATTAAAAATCGGTATTCCGCTGGAATATTATTATTCATTTAATTTCTAACTGAAGTAATGCTCGCTTAATATAATTATTAAAATAACAAAATTTTCTCGGAATTGTCTCGAAGATTTCCCGAAAAAAACTGTCCACCATCCGATAAAATACTGAAAGTACATCAATTGCGCAAACGTCAATGACTATTTTCTAAAAATACCACCAATCATGGTCTCTACACAAATGGCAATAGCCGATTGCCCGATCCAAGCGAAAATCTATTACAACTCAACTGCCAACTCGCAAAAACCCATAACCCCTGATGCATGAGAAAATCTATTACGACTCTAGGCATAACCCGCGAAACTCACTCATGAAAAACTAAGACCCCCCATTACCCCAAGATGAATCGATACATTCGTCATCCACCGACTGATTTATTCATGCCCCCTTTGTCCCTCACTCCTAATACCATCCAGCAACCGTCAGTTCATTGAACTTCACCGCATACGCGTCTATATAAAGTATCACTCAAAGATTCCCTGCATATTCCCGCAATAATTCCACCCGAGGAAGCATCGCTTTCTTCCTCCACCCAACAAAGGAAAAGAAAAAAATAAAAAGATCGACTCCAAGACAATAGACACCTTCTACACAACAAACTCCCATTCCCTTCCGCGATAACCGCCCCATCCACCGATCCATAATACATGAATTTCCAGGTGCCTCCTCCCCACGAGAGAAAGCCCCGGAATAATTCGCGATCGATGGCCGATTCCAGGATTAATTGTCCGTAACGATGTGGGGAATAATCCTCTGGCTGACGTGACAGGTCAGCGTGTGTAAAGTTAGTGGTGGGTGGGAGTAGGGGATGCAACGGAGACAAAAAAAGGAGTCAAAGCAAAAAGAGGGAAAAAAGGCGGCATTTGAAAAACAAAAGGAAAAGAAAAGAGAAAAAAAAAACACGCAACACGTTGGAAGGCGAGCGCGAGTGCTTCTCGTAGTCTGTCATAGCCACTGAGAGAATAACTCCGAAGTTAAGAGAGAGTGAGAAAGAGTTAGTGGGGGGGTTCCCGGTCAAGTTGAACCGCTGAGTGGAACCGCTAGGAGGCGTCTATGGGGTCACCCAATTGGCCCGATGTGGCGGTAATGGTTGGTGGGCGGGAGTTTATTGCGCAGCGTGGGTGCGCACCCACTCATTTACACATCTTCAACTGCTCCCTCACGCATGTCAACCCCTCACACATCGATGAAGTTGATGGTGAAGCAAAAGGGAAGAAAAAAAAACAAAGCAAAGATGCAGTTAATGTGTACACAACAATGTTGGAGTGGCGTCCATTTTAAAGTAGTATTGAGCCCCCAGGGGCTGGATCGGGTGAATGCGGTGCGCGAGTCGGGGGCGCCTTAAATCTTGATCTCACCTTAAGTCTCTCCCTCCCCTCTTCTATGTCTCAAAAGGCATTGAGAGGGAAGAGGAGAGGAGGGGGAGAGAAGGCAGTCTGGGCGCGCTTTGAGCCACCGAACGGAAGCCAATCTGCTCGAATCCGGCGGAGCGCGAGCAGTCACGGTTAAGGTAGAGGAGGAACATATACCTTGGTGGGCTTTATTGACTTTCAAGGGGTTTTGTGTTGTGTCTGTCGGTTGAAACCCTAAAACATTCTGCCGTGACAGTTACACCTTTGTGGCATTGTTGACGGTGATTGTTGATGGTGAATTGAAAATCGCAAAATTACCCGGCGTGCTCACCCCCGCGGCTATTCTGTTTACCCAAAGTTTTGAGCTATGAGATTTTGAGGGTACTGGAGGGTGGTTGTGATTATCGGACTTGAAACCCTGGACTTCCAGTTGTTTTTCCCAGTTATTTGAATTTTTTTTTTTCGGGTCTGACGAGTCGACCACTTCGTGAGGATGACGGGGAGTCGATCACCCCATTTGTTCATAATTGTTGAAATTTGTTGAAATTTGTTGAAATTTGTTGAGTGGTGTTTTTTTTTTAAATGTTATGCTGTATTGTCTTTACTTCAAAAATGATTAGATCTGAGGACTGTATCCGTTTGGGATTTGAACTTGAAAGCTGTTGCATGTGAGACGTTTTTGCCACTGCGCCGAGCGTTGAAGTGGTGTGAATTATTTATTTTGGCAGATCACTTTCGCAAAGAAACATTGATCGGTGATAAATAATAGTGAATGCAGGTGGTGGAGGGGATTGTCGAGTAAGTGCTCTGGCCGGTGATGATGATCGGCGGTGGAATCGCGACACCTCCGAGCACTGGCAAGCCCCTGGCTGCCATTAACGAAATGGTTGTCATTGATAGCGTTGGTAGTGCTAGTGTGTTGAGTGGTAGTGGCAGTGGCAGTGGCAGTCCCGCCACCGCATCAACTCGTACCAATAACAATAATAATAATAATAATAATAACGACACGAGTAATAATAATATTAATAATGAGGGACACGTTGCTATTGGCAATAGCGGGGGGAGTAACACTGGAAACAGTGGAAAATTGTGCTGTCAGGATGATGACAATGTGACAGCCAATACTGGGACAACTGTTACCCGACCATGGGAACCACCATCGCCGACACTCGCCCAGGGGAGATCGCGATTGGTACAGATTCACTCGCATCCACAACATTCTCATCATCATGGGGGAATTTCTGGGGTTTCCCCGGCCTCTATCATTGACGGTATGTTTTCTTTTTTTCTTTTATTTTTAATATTCAACTGATTGATATATTCAACGGAATATTTGAACATTTTGCCATTGAAATTTAGAATTTCATCGAGAATTTCTGGGAATGTGACAGGGAGATGTCATTGAAATGACGTTAATGGATAATAATGTCTAGAAAGTAAATGACTGCGCCAATTTATGTCTAATTGCCATGGAGTTTTATCGATTTATTGCTTCTAGTTTTGAGTGGCAACATGAGTTTATAAGTTGTTGATATCGTACCCGGTTTTTATGTTTTTCATTGATAATGCTCTCTCAAATATGCGTGTTAAAGTTATCCAAATCTCATTCATTAATTTACGCATAAACCTAAAAGCTTTAATTACAATTAAAATTAAATTCGAATCTGACAATAAAAAATGGAGTTGACTTCATGCCCGAGATTTCAATAAACATTCCACATAGCATATTGGAAAAAATGTTTACAAATGAAATAACCGGTTAAGGTCTTCGGGAAAAAAGGACAATGAGGAGCGAATGGTTCATATCCGCTTGAAATAAAATCAGGAAAAAAGTCCAAAGTACTGAAAGACTAAATTCAATGAATTGATAGTGAGCTCTAATTTGAAGGCGTGGAAATTATCCATTAGCGTGGCGCGATTATCGACAGGCTTGGAGTGCGATAAAAAAAAAATATAAACGGCAGTTATGAGCGCTCAGAATATTTTGCTGTGTGAAAACGGTGAGATTGAGTCAATTAGTTCTCAGTGCTCTGAGAAGTGTTGTATAAATATTTAGATAAGTGGTATAACCAGTGGTGGGACAAGGGAGGTGTCTAATTGGCTATTAGGTAAATTATCTGTTGGCCTGTTCCAGGGTTCAGGCACCTGGCGCACCCAAGACCCTAAATGAAAAAAAAAAGGCTTTTCTTACTTTATGGGGGGATTCCCCGGGTATTAAAAGAGGATCCTCTCTCATTCGGCCTCTTATAAAATAAATGGATAAAATACTTGCTTTTTTTCGATCGCAACCTCTCAATTAATCCGAACCTAATTGATTAATATCCTTTAATTTCCATAAAACGTGGGCATTTCGGACGTTAAGGAACGCCCGTTACGGTTGATGAATTATTCAGGGAAGATTTTGTCATTTTAAATACCATGTGAAACAATTTATTTCGGGAGTTGTACTGAGAGATTTTGGGGAATGAATGGAATACTCCGGGGATTCTAAAATGGTACGGATTATCTAGCATCGATTATTTATTACAAGATAGAGATTGAAAAATGTAATTAATGAGATTATCCGATGAATTCGCTTTATTATCAATCGGGATTCGGATCTGGATTCGATCGGGAATTTTGGATTTAGTGGAAATTAATTAACAATTATGAACTTTGGGAACGACAATTACACGGGTTAAAAAAATGTAATCGGAATATTTTTTCCAAATTTTCCAAAAATTTCTGGAAGACTTTTCAGACTTTTTTTTATGAAACAGAAAAAAAGTCGGAAAATAAAACAATTTTATTTTTGGGAAAGGTTTTGAAAAATTTTTCTAAAATTTAAATAAGAAAATGTTTTTTATAATTAAGATGGCGTATTTTCTGAGAATATTGAAAAATTAAAAGAGTAAGAAAACAACAGTATAATTTTTAAAAATTATATTTGCAAAAATTTCTAGAGAGTTATAAAAAAAAATTTTCAAAAAATTTCCCAAAAATACGATTGTTTTGTTTGTGATTGTTTCAAAAAAAAAAAATTTCTGAAAAGTTTTCTAGAAATTTTTTGAAAATTTGGAAAAAATATTCCAATTCCAATTTTTTATACCCAGGTAACTGAGGTTTTTAATTACTTGATTATTGATCAATTTATAATAAATGATACTTTTTTCAAAATCGTGTTGCATATTTAGAATTATATCTTGATGACTTTTCCTAGGTGAATTAATGAATTAATTAGTGAATGATGCAAGAAATAAAATTGTTGGATTTCTGGTTGGAAGTTGCTGAGAGGATCGATCGACTTTAAATGATCATAAGTATAATAAATTGAATGGCGAAGGTTGTGGGTTGTAAGGTATATAAATACCACAGATTGTATCGATGAAACATGATTTGTTCAATTATCAATGATGTACTCCAACGGAGTGAGTGACCTTTCAAAAAGTGTCTGTACATTCAGAGCAATTCTCACTGCACGAGACTTCTAGATCTGTTATCTCTCCGATTGGTATGTAACGCTCTTTCTCACTAGAATTTTTGATACCGCAAAAGGTTAGACGTACACTCGGAAAATTGAGAGAATTATTCAGCAGTACCCCAAGTACTCAAAAATAATTGAATATTTTTCAATGGATTCATTGTGTACACGGAGAGAAATATTTAGTAAAAATTACGGAACTTTCAGTTCACTCACCGATTACGGAGTTAATTCGAAAAATTTAAGTGACGGTATCGTTATTTTTCACCGATAATTCAGATAAAAATTACGGAACATCGCGGAAAAATTCCGTGACTTTAGATAAAAATTACGTGACAGTTCCGTAAAATTTCCGACAACCATATTTCGCTCCAGAATTACGGAAAATACACGTAATTTTTATTGAATATTTCTCTCAGTGTAGGAACGACTGACTCAAATTTCACAGTTTTATATTCCGAACGCAGGGCCCAAGGGATTTTTCTCGAGAATTTAACTAGATCCAGACTCGAAATATTTCTAAATGACATTCATCTTCAATTCATCCGTCAGTTATTCCTGATCGCAGGGAGTCATTAATCAATGTAATTCGACTGATCACTGTATAAAAGACTGTCAGTAACTCCCATGACTGTCAGCCATGAGATATCGTAATGAGAAACATTCATACTCTACATTATTAATCTCACGATCAATTCTTCTTGAAAAAAAAAATGAATTAATTAATGAAAATTAAAAATATTCATCTATCATATCGAAAAGTAAAAATGAAATGATTAAGGAGTGAAAAAATAAAAAAGAGACGGGGTTAGTGAATTGTTAGTGAGTGCTGAGCATACGTGTTAGATTCTCCCGACAATTCTGAAAGATATTAAATTCTAAAAGCGGCCCTATAACCCAAGCCGAATCGTCACCCTCTCGTCTTTCACCCGAAGGCAAAATGTGAAACATTAGGTGAGACGCAGAAGAAGACTCACCTGTCATCACATGCCATACCTGAGGATCTCCTCTTTCCTGAGGATTACTAAATAGCCAAATAATGAGAGTGCCAACACGAGGCAGAAAAGAGAATAGAAAATGTAGCGTGATAACCGATGTTTCACGGTTGCCCCCAAATGGTCAATGTCCTCCAATCGTTCGGTATAATTTTAAAACAAAGCCATAAATCACCCGACAAACTTGGCAAAAGTGAAGCTAAAAAATAAAACAACGAGTAACAAAGAATGAAAACATAAATTGCCGATGAAAAAGAGAAAGAGGATAAAGCTGGGAAGAACAGCTCCCGTTCGCGCCTACGGTCATAAACCACTAACAAGTCCTAAAGCGACTGGTGCAAAATTCTCTTCTACCCCGTATGCATCCTGAACTTGAAAACGAGGTGTTGAGGATTACCTACGTACTCTACATCTGCAAAATTTTTATCGACTCTTTCGCACCGCCGAGCCAGATACTGGAAATTTTCTTCGATGGGTATATGTGCCTCCTATGGGATGAAAACCGGTTTTGAAAAATACTTATATACTTCGAAACGACGTGACGAAGCCAAACAGTAACCGAGTACGCGCGCTTATAATGCCACCTTTTTTTTTTTTTACCAATACGGTTGCCGAGTTGGAGAGTACCCCGTGTTATTCCCTCACTTTCGGTTTCAAAATGTATTTCGATAAGATTTTATCGGCTCGAATTATTCCGCGAAATAATTTTCAACGATAAAAGTTTAGGAATTGATATATCCATTACCTTATAAGGGACGCTAATTTCGGCACGACTGGTTTCAGTTAAATTTTTCGTTTTTCCTTTATGTTCCTTCATTTTTAGTTGTCAGCTGAATATATTTTGTTATTTTCCATTTATTGTTAATGTTTTCGCTGTAATTTTGAGTTTCATGGCTTATGAGTCCAGATGATCAGTCTGTCATAAAAAAAAAATGTTCGTTGATATAAAATATCAACAATAAATACTAGTACTCATAAATCTGTTTAAATACATGTACTTGATTCAAGTTTTTTCCGTCACAAAAAAAAAACAAAAAATGCATTCAATTAATTTTTGGATTATTGAGTGAAATAATACCAGTTCCCGATCCCTGTGTTGTTTCTCATAAATATTATAAATAGATATCAGTTATATACCTAATTTATGTGTAGTATATGCTTATGATATTAATATATAATTATAAATAGATATCAGTTATATACCTAATTTATGTGTAGTATATGTTTATAATATTAATATATATTTGGCTAATATACCGTGTGTTGGTTTGTAAGAATTTTTCTCTGTTCGGATTGAATTCTCCGAAGAAACAATTAATTCCCCGTTCTTTGAATACAGATACGTCTGTTCTTGCCGTGAATTCAACTCAAAGCTTGTGATTGCATTGTTTGGTTCAGGTGTTGGACTTCAAAATTGTGCAGGCGCCTTTTCTGGTAGCAATAATACCGCCGGCGGGGCTTCACGTCAACGACTGCTGGAGCTGTCACATGGTTTGGGAGCTCTCAGACATTACAACGATCTCGCCAATCACGTACTCTCTTTAAATCAGCAGGGAGCGGTTGTCACTAAATTATTGGGTAAGTCAATCAAATTCGAGGAGATCCCTCTAATAAAATTACCACCAAAAAAGTATTTTTCGCAAGGGAAAATGTCCATTAAGGAACATCGGCCCACACCGAAAAATTATATCTCTGCATTTTGTTGAAAAGATTTCTTAAGTCATTATGAATTATTTATAAATTAGGATAGGAAATAGAAATATAGAGTTTCCGTGAAGATTCTTTTTTAAAAAAGTGCGATTTTTCATTCGCTCGTACATTTTGCGATGTTAAGACCTTTAAATGTTTAATAAATCTGATCAATTATCGGCGATCACTCCTGGAATCACGAAATAATTCTGGAATTAATTGATTTGTAATCGATAATGAACCGGTAAATTGTCAATTATCAAATTGTCACATTATATAAACAAATTGGCAATTTCAGAATCTAAAAAAATTATTTTTCGTGACGGTTCGTCGTTCCGTCATTCAAGTCGCAACGTTGCCAAATTTATTCTATCCACTTCAGACATTGTATCGAACAAAAAAGATTCTCCATAAATTTCACTTGCGGAATTAATTTCCATTCTCGTATCATTCCGCGGAATAATTCATTAAAAAATTATTCGCTGCAACAAATGGATCATATGACGATGAATTTAGATTGTAATCGATTTATTCCCTCGGACCCAAACGAGAAACGATTTCTGCCGATATGACAGAAAAGTTCTTCAGGTCTTCATCAAATTCATTTTTTTCACAAAGAAAAAAATGCTGGACATTCAGAAAATCGCAGATGCATCTCTGACTTTTATCCAAAATCCGTAATTGTTCACGGCAATTACTCCGAAGATAAATCCAGTAATAACACCTCAAAATCGATCCGAGCCAATTACAAACATTCCCATAACGATTTGATTTCCCATTCGCAGATTTAATTGCGGCCTATCAATTAAGAAAACACCAGCGAAAGCGATTTTTTCCCCTTGAATTTGATGACACTTAAGACCGCGATCAGTATCTGCAGACATTTCATCACGTGGATCGTTCCCTCTCACTTCTCAAACAAGACCAAGCAAATGATATCGTATCAGGTGGCGAAATACATCACCTAGCCAATGGTATACCTTGCCAATGCTCTTTATCTCTCTCCCTCGAAAAATCCATCCTTGTTTATATATTTTTTCTTCTCATTGTTGTGCTCAACTCTGATCTGCTCTGGTCTACGTCTTTCTCCTCTTCTTCATCTTCAGTTTTCTCGAGGTGCCCGCTCCTCGTTAACTTTACGATCGCCTCGTAAAAATACCGTTCGAGAATCACGTCCGACGCCCCAGTAATGTCTTCATTTTCGGAATACCAACTCCTTAAGTTACCCGTTTCGCGGTGAATATAATGTACCATAATGGCCATGACCAATTACTTAATAGTCGCAGAGACAATTTGAATGTACCTCAATTCATATCAGTTGATGCTTCAGAGAATAATTCTCTGAAGTAGTTCATTGGATCTAATCCAAAATGCAGAATTAATAATCATCTCCTTGGAAATCTTATCGAGACTCACCAATGGCCCAGCAATGGCCCAGAAATGGCCCAGAAATGGCCCAGAAATGGCCCACCAATGGTTCACCCCAACCAATCAGCATATGATGATGTCGAATTTATTCAATTAAGTCACCAGATCATCTCATATTTTCAATCCTGATACCTGGAAATGACCTTGGATCATTCTCAAGTGGTACTCTTACAGATGAATATCACTGGACTATTGATGATATTAGATGAAAAATCTCCGTGATCCACCATTTATCCAACCTCCTTCATCTCCATCCTCTTTACCCTTGGCTTCATACCGTGACTCGTACAATTCTCTGCCTTGGTTGGCACGAATAGCTGCCAATCGATTCCATGCAAGACCGACACGCGAACTCAACCACCAACACCCGGATAGCAAACTACCATGGTAGCATGCATCAGGGAATCGAACTGCTTTGATTTTTCCAGCGCTACCCTCATCGCGAATTAAATTATACATTTTGCATTCTAGGGGGGTCTCGTTTTTAACCTTTACTCACGATTTTTACGGTACGTGTCGATATAATTAAAAGGAATTTCAGATTTTAGTGCAACAAGCATGTAGACGAGGATCTTTACTTGGAAATTTACAATTCGAATTTCAATGCTGGTCGGAATTTGCCGATTCGACTTTCGGATCACGAGTTGGAAAAGTTTTGGTTTCAATCCGATCAATTAAATCAGCATTGAACCAATCTCAAATTCTAGCTCAATTTGACGTTCCTGTTTGGACAGAGTAGATTCCCTTGAAGACAACTTGACGGAATCAATACCAAACCTCGAGATGAAGTTCGGTTTACACTTCGTAATGTTAGATCTGAAGCTCATCTCATATTGGTCAGCATTTCCTTGATAGCTGCTGTAGCTAAGATTCGTGTTGGTTTCCTGAAGAACAACTAGACTTTCAGATCAAGAGCTACTAGAACTGCTACCAGAATCCTTAGGTTCGCGATGAAAGGAGTTCTCTTTAGTCTGATCGGTCAAATCTCGACAAGATCTGTGTTAAGTCTTTTCAGATCAAAGACTGATTCGCAAGCGTCACGTACCAAATCAGTCCTGTCTAGTCTAGATCTAGTCTTAATCTAGTCTGACATGATTTTCATCTGAGACTTGAATTACCCCACGGATTCTTCGATATTCTAATCATCTCAAATGTTTCATGAAATTATGGTTTGTCGAATTGAATGTAGTCCACATAGGCCATGAAAATACAACCGCATGCTGCAGGCAGCTTTAACCATTATTCTAGCGAGCCACAGACTAGACACCAAAGTGTTAACAACAAAATTAGACTACAATGTAAACGGTGAAAGTTATAGTTTGTGGCTTATCTCGCATTCTAATGGGCGAAACCGAGACAAAACGTTCCCAAAGAAATATTTCCTCCAGGAAAACATGTATTGATTCAGGTGTTTCATGTTCTCATCGGCAAATCTACTTTCGAAGCAACTTGCAATTAGGTTGTTTTCCTGATACAACTACCTGCAATTTACGAAACACAAAGATTTTTCTGTGTTATCACAAAAAGGATCGTTTCAGTGATGAAAGTACGATGTCTTCATCATCATCTTCACCATTCAGAAAATCCAGTCTTCAACGAAATGTCTTTCAAATCTCAATCATATTGAATCAATCACTGAAAGGTGATAGATACATATACAAATAAATGAATGAACTAACAAATAAGTTGAAAAAAAAAGCATGTCGAAGGAATTTGCTCGAGGCACGGATACCTATTAGGTGGGTAACATCGTTTACAGTCTGGCACGCACCTCTCCCGTGGGAGCGCACGCGATATGAAAACCATCGGCGACGTTTGGTTCCTTCTTCAGCAGCCATTATTGTTATTAATAATAGTACGTAACGACCGATAATTGCTCAAGTCTGACTGCGCCTCTGGTTTCCATTAAATACATCCAAATGACGGTAGAATGTCTTTTTTTTTATAAAAAAAAACTCGGTTTTTCCTCATCCTTCCATCGATGACTTAAACATGCAACGGACGGATTCAATGTAATTCTCGCTAAAGGATTCAGGCCGCACGCATTGAGGATGACGTGCGTGTTTTTCCATCCTCCAATCATTCTTGTGACGGATACACCTTTGATATGCGTTTTCACGTCCCTGAAGATGATGGAGCCTTGGTACTTTAACCCGGACAATTTTAATTGCAGTGAAGATACCTCAGAGTTGGAGATCATGCGGCAGAATATTGCGATAATCCGACGTCTTCAGGGATTCTTATGACGATGATAATTTGCTCGGATGATTCATTGATGCATCATCGGTTTATCATTTGGTTATAGCAATTATGGAGCACGATGAATGGCGCCTAGTTCATTTTTCTCCTTTGTTGGGGATCAGTGATGAGCGGATGTTGACAGATCAATATTTAATTAATTGACACTAGAAACGTGGAAATTTGTCTTGCGTACCGTCGGCCTTACGGTCTTCATTCCTCGCCAGACAGTAACAGCTTAAACATTAGATAGTATCTGTGAATGTAGGCGTCGAAATCCCCGAGTTATTTGAAGCTACGTTATGCCACTATCACAGCAATTGCTAATAGCTCATCATTTCATTGATAATTGTTTTGCAGGTACACTGAGACCACCTGGTCTGATCGGTGGTAGCAAGCCCAAAGTTGCAACACCAGCGGTTGTCTCGAAGATCGAGCAGTACAAGAGGGAAAATCCAACGATATTTGCATGGGAAATTCGGGAGAGACTTATATCCGAAGGTAATTGCAACGAAATACTTGGTGTACACTGAGTAATTCATCTCGAAAGAGAAACTCTAGGAAATCTTTTTCTATTTTAATACTTCGATTGAAAGCAGAACATATTTCACCCGACAATTTTATTCTGTCATGTCCAATCGAATGATTTATTTGACTGTTGTCTTTCAATCATGTTTTTCCACGATTCAAGTTCGAAATGAATACTTGAGTCCAGTATAATTCACTGCGAATAGAATTTTCGTATTACAATCCTATTATGCGAAGGACAAACATCGAGACTATCGATATCTCGAAAGTATGTCGCACTTGTTCCTCATTGGTTTACTCATCTGAGGCGGGTAATTTGAATTGAGAACTCATTTATCTTCAAATCATGATTACAATGAGAAAGTATTTCTGGGCAAAGTAGGAGTGAGATAAAAACGTAAATTCCAGGTGTCTGCAGTAATGCAACAGCTCCATCGGTAAGCAGTATAAATCGAATACTCCGAAATCGTGCAGCAGAACGTGCAGCGGCGGAGTTTGCCCGTGCCGCTGGTTACGGGCTTTATGCCGCCGGACCTCACCCTTATTTCAACTCAGCCCATCACCACCCAGCATCATCCCATCACTTGCCAACAGGTTGGCCAACGCCCGGAGCACCCGGACATCCCTGGATGATGCCACCATTGACCTCTGGTTTATCCGGAGCTTCCGCCCTCCTGCTACCACCGTCATTAAGTCCTGGAGGTGGTGCTGGATCAACCACCGTCGCTGGTAGCCCAGAGCATGCATTGCATGCTGATGCCATTGCTCGCGGTTATCTACAAGGTATGTACAATCATTTGACCAGCAATTTGAATAGCTCGTCAGTACGATTCATCTCAATTTCAGAGAATTATCATGATGATTATCGTGAGCCCAATTCATCGGAAGGGCCCATTTATTTATTTTTTTTTTCACCAGATCCTTCGTTACCTCAATTCACTATTCAATTATATCAGTGATATTAGCCTGCGTATTTGCGATGCGATTACACTCACGGGAGGTCATATTCTCTGATAACTTATTGCCAATTTACACGCTAGGGTGAACCTCACCGCGGTAAAACAGCTGGCCAGTCTTTGGGGATATGATCAGACCACTTTATTATTCTGGACAGGTTGCTACTTAGTGATTCATTAGTGGTCATAAACATTAAGCAACAATGGATACGGTATAAATTAACTTGACAAGGTTGGGCTATCGAGAAGTCCCTCATATCCACAAATCTCAGGATTCTCGTATCAAATGTTCATGCGTATCATTTTTGGAATTATCGTTTCGGGTGTTAGTCGTCGATGAAATTATCTTGAGAACTGTTTTGACAGTCATAATCACTGGGATTTGTCGTTTATCAACAGACGAGGGTGACGATGGTAGTCTTGATGGGTCGGAGCAGCCCAAGTTCCGTCGGAATCGGACAACATTCAGTCCTGAACAGCTGGAGGAGCTCGAGAAGGAATTCGAGCGGTCGCATTACCCGTGTGTATCAACTCGCGAGAGATTAGCATCGAAAACATCGCTATCGGAGGCGCGTGTCCAGGTGAGTGTCTTTATTCATTCCAAATCTCTTCGGTCCCGATCATTACCGGCCGACTATTCAGACACGTTCATTGAAAATCGCGGATCAGAGGATCGCGATTAAATTTAAACATTCGTCATTTTCCAAATCGTTCGACTGCATCTAATCAGAACGAATCATTGACTCTTTATCATTCATTACATTACAAAATCCAAATAATTGAATTGCCCTAACAAATATAAAGTTCGCTTGAAAAAGGATTCAATAAAACACTCGACGTACATTGACAGTCTCTGATTCCAAATTATCCAAATTGATTACAAATTGACTTGATGATGCGCAAGCTAGTGATGATCCCCTCTCGCGATTGATAATGAAAAAAATCCCCTTAATCATAAGTCATGAGCTTTCTAACGACCTAACTCGTCACTCTTAGGTTTGGTTTTCCAACAGACGGGCAAAATGGCGGCGCCATCAACGAATGAATCTATTGAAACGTTCCCCACCGCCCCAGTTACCACCGCCATCAGTGGCAACAACCCCAGGATCCCATACAACGAGTGGATTGGATATTCCCCGTACACCGAGCTGTACAATCGGCGGAATGGGCGGCGAAAATAGTGCATTCAGAGCTGTTGTCACAACAACAGCCCAGGATGGTGTTAACAAAACGAGTGAGCGTAAACCAAGTGCTTTTAGAATGATAAGTCAACTGGTTGGTGATGATCCACCAGTGAATTTTAATCCGAGTAAAAGTCCGGACAGTGGTAAAAGATCACGTGGATCGCTATCCATGGAAGTTGAATCGCCGGATGATGAGGATGAGGAAATTGATGTACAGGATTCGGATCAGGAACTTGCATCATCGCCTGTTGTCTGGAGAGATTCTTGGACTGATCAGCAACCCCTCGAACTTACCAAACACGATCGTTGAAATTTTTGTTTATTCAAACGTTTAAATACTTTTCCTCTTCTTTTTTTTCTTTTTTACAATGCATTGTTTTAATTGCTTAATCTACGCGAACAAAATCAATAGCACAAAACTGTCAATAATCTATTAATGTGGAGGTTGGCATATCTCTGTATTTTAATGACTCAACTGCCGACTATCATAACGCGATTATTTTTCATTGGAATACAGCCGGAAAATTGATGAATCCGTGTGACAAAGTTATGTTTAAGTGGATTGTAAATGATTACCTGATGAAAATTCATTGAAACCGCTCGTACCGAGTTGAACTAGTCTCTAAAACGAATGAGAATGATTGATCATTAATGGAAAAATAAAGAAAGTAATCGTTCGAACCAATTCTAGAATACAAATTCATAGACGATAAGAAGTATTGATACCTTGTATGCTATATAAAGACAGATCATTAAATCAATCCGTCTTCTTTATTAAGATCGAAGGTAAAACTATTTTTTCAATGAAGACTCGATGATTCTTTTGTATTTCTGTATTTGGGAGAAATTCGGTATCGCTGGATCTTTTATTTTCGGTGGAAAAGATATGTTGGCAGTGTTGGGTGAGGAGCGCTGAAACACACCAGTCGAATTGGAGAAAAAAATCATCAGTTGAGAGCTCCCGATTACCTGTAGAATTCAGCGGGAGTTGTTCTCGCAAATAAGGGTTCCTAAAACTTCACCGTGAAAACTGGTTTTTCATGACATCCACCGCGACATTTGTGGCGCAAGCCTATTAACATTTTCAAACCGAAGGCACTTATGACTCTCCATTAAATCTCAGGTAAGAAAATCAAAATTAATTGTATTACCGATTATTGCGAAAATTCGTATCTCGAGGTGATCGATAATTGTCTTTATCTCGCTAGTTTCATTACAGAAAATGCTCGTTCTGGGGAATGGAAAGAGACAATTGAGAGATGCGATAAAACGGAAAATTGTAATTTCATGCATTTATTAATTATTGTCGGATCTAATGCCGTCAATTTTTTTTCATTCAAGAATTTAATCAAGACACGATATTTTTTTTGAAAATTCAATATCAAATACAATTCCATTTGTCATTTTATTCCGCATGACATTTCAATATAATATTTCTCGAGGGTTAATATTTTGATTAATAATAATAAATATGAGATGTCATTAGAACCCCCGAAATATCACCTGTTAACCCCCCGCGATTTGCGAACAAAGGCAGGCATAATAGAGAAAAAAGAAAATCATAAATAAAGAATATTTTTTTTGAATAAACAAAAACTTGTGTAGCTGAGGTGCGGTTATCCGAGAGTCAGAGGAGAAACGAGAACGTAACAATTACTATCTGAGACCGATCGGCGTGGAAAGATTAACGATCTTATACTCTTACCGGCACGTCGAGTGGCTCAACGCGATTGCCCATGAGACGAGGGGCACATTAAAGTCACCTCCTCCTTTCTCAATGAGATATTGCCGGTCGGGCCACCTTTTCCCTCGTCTATTCCTCTTTTTTTTTCCTCCCATTTCCCATCTCCCCCCATGTCCTTTTTTTTTATTCACCGCTTGCCGCCCCCGGGATAGCTTGTAAATCCTCACCGTTTTATTTCCTCTTGCTCACCGAGAAAATCTCCACTGAAATCGTAACTGTTTTTACTTCTGTTCGGTGTCGACGGGGACCGAGCATTAAAATACACTCAACATTTGAATATATCGAATAATATAACTATTGTCAATAGTTGTAATGTGTGTGGGGTTGGAGTTGGGTGTAAACCCTTGGACGATTGAGAAAAAGGAGTGCCCGATGATTTCTCGCCCAATTAGAGACGACCGGGCTATAAACTTCCTCCGGTGGATAAGATAGGAATATACCGTGGGTCCCTGTTTTCTCGTCGACAACCTAAACCATCTCACCCGTTTTCACATGTATACCATACAAATATACTTAATACATGAATTCTCCATCATTATTATTTCTGCTAAATCATCGGTGGGAGCAATATTTACCTCCGGAAGCCGCGATTAAGCGGTTACCATTCTACATTTGTGAAGATATTCCGTTTGGGTTACGTCATTCATTCTGGTGACAAGTTTTTTCATTTATTTTCATTTATTTTCATTTATTTTAATTTATTTTCATTTATTTTCATTTATTTTCATTTATTTTCATTTATTTTCATTTATTTTCATTTATTTTCATTTATATTAGTCGTTACTAGGGACTTTCGAAGGTATTGAGTCTACAATGTTGGAAAATTACTTGGCAAATTATTCTTATTCACCCTTAAAGTCCAACTAGACTTAGTACAGCCCCAAGCCTTCCTTTCCAAAACTAAATAAATCCCCAGAACAATCTTATTTCCCCTACACCCGGCTTGATCTATCATTGGACTGTCACGACAGATCACTGTCCCCACCGTAAGTCCCTAAAAAACCAAGTCCCATCCTGGCCGATCAGCCGGACTAATTGGCTCGATCCGAGCGTTTATTTATCGTCAACCAGAGAAAATGCCGAGTCACAATCAAGTATCAATTAAACCAAAAGAAAAAAAAGAAAAGTGAAAAAAATTGAAAATAAAAAGAGAATTCACCGACTGACTCCGAGGTAAGTCAAGCGATTCAACGAGAATAGAATGTGGATTATTGAATAAATTGGATTAAACTTGTTGGTGGGATTTACAAATGATTTAATATATTATACGCAGGGAGAATGCGAGCGGGTGAAAATGAGACGACTAGGATGGTGTCGAGGTGATGTACAGCGACAGGGTCGATAGCGTTACAAGAGCTACTAACCCATCTCTCTCTCACTCCCCATGTTAACGTGAATCTCTCCTTGTTTGACGCTCTTATCCCCTTCGATACCTGCGAAATGCCTCCGTTCTCACACCCCACATCTCTACTTCTCTCTAACTTCTCACTCGACGCCGAGTTTCTCACCTCTTCTCCATACATTTCACGCCATTTCCCTTCTCCAACTCCTTTCATCCCATCTTGTCGCCCCTTCTCACACACAACCTCAAACCATCGACGTGTAAAGCACACGCTCCCCAAGTCCACCGCCTCCACTTCTCTTCTTCTCTTTTTTTCATTTTTATTTTACATTTTTTCCCTCTTTTTCAAGTCTTTTTTTTTCCCCCTTTTCCTTTTTTTCCCTTTTTTTTTCCTCTTGCCTCTTGCCTCTCGCCTCTCGCTTCAGCCCTTCTTCGTCCTTTTTAGGTGGGAGGGGGAGGGGGAGGGTGGGGTGGCAATGTTTTATTTTGCTTATATGTACGTTTGCACGCCACCTCAGGTGCCCACGAAAGAGCGCCAGCCTATCTGACCACTAACTTATTATCGCGAACCGCCATTAGCATGTTTATAGGAGTGACTGGCAACATGGCATATACAATACATACATAGGATATATTGTGGTGGATTTTTTATTTATTTATTTATTTGTTTTTTTTTTCGGGTTGAAGGGGCTCTGGTCAGTCTGGGTTTATTTACGATCAATTAAGGATTGCGCTTTTTCGGGGGAATCGCGACCGGGAGGGAGAATGAACTTGTAATTTTCGACAAATTGATTGGTATTCTGGTCATAATCTTGGGGGTTATCGGTGAGATTTATTTTTGGGGTGGATTGGGGGGTGGTGGTGCGGGGATGTAGAGGGAAAATTTGGGGTAGGCGGAATATATGCACGGGGACAAAAAAAAATTATATTATTGTATAATTCCGGTTGGGGGAGAGATATTTAATAATTATTGAACTTAAATTTGGTTGATGATTACGGTAGTAATTGAGAGGAGTTATTTTTCAGGGGAAGTTTAAACAAAAATTACGGAACACTCGGAAAAAATTTTGTCTTGAGAAATTTAAAATTTATGACTGGCTGTCAATATACTCGGGTGAAAAAAAATGTAATCGGAATATTTTTTTCAAATTTTCAAAGAATTTCTGGAAGATTTTTCAGAAATTTTTTTTTATGAAACAAAAAAAATTGGAAAACAAAACCATTTTATTTTTGGGAAAGGTTTTGAAAAATTTTTCAAAAATTTAAATAGGAAAATTCTTTTTATAATTTAGATGGCGTTTTTTGAGAATATTGAAGAATAAAAAAAGCAAGACAACAATCGTATAATTAACAAAAATTATATTCGCAAAAATTTCTAGAAAACAATAGAAAAAAATTTCCGAAGCAAATTTCTGAAAAATTTTTCAAAACATTTATTTCCGAAACAAAATTTTGAAAAATTTTTCAAAACATTCCCCAAAAATACGATTGTTTTGTTCCCCGATTTTTATTTGTTTGAAAAAAAAACAATTTTCTGAAAAGTTTTCCAGAAATTTTTTGAAAATTTGGAAGAAATATTTCCATTACATTTTTTTTCCCCGGGTAGAATATCTTCTCTTGAAAATTCTTCAGCATCAGCTTTTACTCATCAATTCTTTATTAGAAATTCATTTGAATGGCCACCGGGGTATGCCCTGTTATTTTTTAGAAACGCCTGATGCTTTAGAACAAATAAATACTGTTAGACATAATCATTGTGTACCATAACTCTCGATGCTGGGAGCTCTGTTTTAGAACTCAAAAGAGCCATTATAATTGATCGTAAATACATCAAGTGTACTTCTGCGTATATGGGACACGCTGGCAGTTACCATTCTGTAACCGCCATTTGTGGGTACAACAAGTGGAAAAGCCTTTTTCTCACCCAATTAACTTTCTTCTGTACTCGAGATATTAATGGCGTACTTTAACGGGCTTTTGAATAACGCCTTTATGTTTCTAATAAGCAGTATTTTTAATGGACTCCAACGGGAAGGACTTCTACAGAAAAAATATGATATTTCCATTGAGAAAAAAAATCAAAAAAAAATCGTTACCATATTTTTCAGTCATTCGCAATCAATTTCTGCGAGCACTAGCTCATGCATTGATCCAGTGTCTCCATCAATAACTGGGAATGAATTCGAGGGCCTGTCGATCGGCTCGATATCAGTGAAAAATGCCGATCAAATCCCGATGCTCTACATAATATAGAAGTAGATGTCACGTGTCTTATTCATCGCACGGAAAATGCAAATCGGTTGGAGGCAATCGTTCAACTCTCGGTGGAAAGTAAAAAAAAAATTGAGAATGTTCATGTCATCCAACGGATGTTGGATTTATGTATTCATGTGTTGGATATGTTGAGGATAAATGACAGGAGCTTTGAGTGATTGCCGTCATCTAGATCGCGTTTGGCTTTTCCTGATCGCGTTCGTGACGGGAATTATACCGCCGATGTGAATCAGAAGCAAGTGGAGGAATCAGTCTCAACTGACAAATCATTAATTTTCAAATATTTCTGCGATAAGATAAAAACGACTTTCGTGTAATCAAAAAATAATTGCTCCTCTCTCAAAAGAATTTCTCCCATACCATCGATTAAATCTCAAAATTTTGGATTAAACCTAAAATAA